TGCAGCAGTCTAGCGTCCTTAGAAAGAGAATTACAGTGTCTAGGAATAGTTATCAAGAAGGTCTCCTTTTGTATCCAGGTTGTGTCTATCAAAGTGGCTGTACTGAGTGAAGGTTGGCCCATGAAAATCTCAAAGGCCGGACAGGTTTATATGGGATAATAGTCTGGACTTAGCACTTTGAAATGTGCTCAAGAACAGGCCAGTAGTCAACAGAACTGGTGTGAGAAGTGAATACACATCTCCTTCATCACCCTCTTCAAAAAAGGGGAAAGAACAGACTGCGAAAACTATCGAGGTATCTCCCTTCTAACCTCAGCTGGGAAAATCCTCGCAAGAATCCTTGCAAACTGCCTTCTGCCCCTCTCAGAAGACACCCTCCCAGAATCGCAGAACGGCTTCCGCCCCTCCAGAGGAACTGTGGACATGATCTTCACTGTATAGCTCCAAGAAAAATGCAGAGAACAAAATCAACCTCTGTACATGGCATTCATCGACCTTGCAAAGGCATTCGACACAGTGAATCGCAGCGCTCTCTGGACCATCCTACAAAAAATCGGGTGCCCAAACAAATTTGTGAACATCCTGCGGCTCCTCCATGATGACATGATGGCAACAGTTTTGGACAGCAATGGCTGCCAAAGTGACCCATTTAAGGTGGAATCTGGTGTCAAACAGGGATGTGTTATTGTCCTCCCAACTCTGCTATATGCCTGTGAGATGTGGACTGTCTACAGACGTCACATGCAACTCCTGGAACGATTCCATCAGCGCTGCCTCCGGAAAATCCTGCAAATCTCTTGGGAAGACAAGCAGACAAACGTCAGCGTGATGGAAGAAGCAAAGACCACCAGCACTGAAGCGATGGTCCTCCGCCACCAACTCCGCTGGACCGGCCATGTTGTCCGGATGCCCGACCACCGTCTCCCAAAGCAGTTGCTCTACTCCGAACTCAAGAACGGAAAACGGAATGTTGGAGGACAGGAAAAGAGATTTAAAGATGGGCTCAAAGCCAACCTTAAAAACTCTGGCATAGACACTGAGAACTAGGAAGACCTGGCCCTTGACTGCTCCAGCTGGAGGTCAGTTGTGACTAGCAGTGCTGAAGAATTTGAGGAGGCACGAATGGAGGGCGAAAGGGAGAAGCGTGCCAAGAGGAAGGCGCGTCAAGCCAACCCCGACCAGGACCGCCTTCCACCTGGAAACCAATGCCCTCACTGCGGAAGAAGATGCAGAGCAACAATAGGGCTCCACAGCCACATACGAACCCACAAGAATATTGGAAGACAATCATCCTCGGAAAGCGAGGTATCGCCTAACTAACACATCTCCTTACAGCAGTCTGACTGCAGCTGTTTGAGTCAACTGAAATGCAAACAGGATGTAACCAAGTCACACTACTGTGGCCAGATCAGATGTTTCCCAGAACAGATGTGACTGACATACTAGAGGAAAAAAAACCCTGTATTCAAGGGGAGCATAAACATATCTAGCGAAGGTTGGAGCTCTATTTGCCTTTCAAAGCACTAGCACCACCTATGTAGCTTCAATTTTTTCCCTTAATCCAAACAATTAGAGTTTTCAGTCTGTCAAGAAATTAGAAAGTTTCATTTGGTTTATGCGGAAAAGAAGTAAAGTTGCATGCCATTGGTATACGGGCTCAGAAATCTAAAATACTTCTTCCAACAGTTTCATATATACATTAAATATCATGGTGTCAAAATAAAATCTAAATAGAATCCTCCATAATTACCTTCTAAATTTGTACTTTTAAGACAGAAGAAAATTACTGAAAAATGGCACCTCCAATTTTCATTCCACAAAACAAGCCAGAAAGATAGCATGGCCAATTCTGTTTGTGAAGTCAGAGACAGCAAGAATACGCACACACTGTCCATTTTCAGAATATGTCACCCAACAAGGAAATCAAATCCTTCTCAATCCAGTTGCAAGACCCCAAGCGAGTCAAGATTTCTGGATAAGGTTTTTGATGTCTCTATCAAATTGTAATATAATATATAATAATAATAATAAAACTTTATTCCGCTCTATCGCACCAAAGGAACTCAGGGCGAATTCCAAACATAAAAGGCAAACATTCAATGTCCGAATAAAACAACAATACATCCATACTAACAAAATTTATACAACCCAACATATAAATATGAATTATAACTTAACAAACCAAAATTAAATAAAATGCACAGCCTGTTATAACAGAATAAGACAAAACAACAAACATCAAATGGAAACAATTTCCCATTTCCTTGGGGCAAATCAATAATAAGACTCAATAACATCTCCTGGTTTCTGATGGAAACAGGCAGTCTCATAAAACACATCCCTAGTAGAGAAGATGGGCATTAAACTTGGTCAGCACATTGTCATAACTCTGGTTATTGCCCTCTTCATCAAAGGTTAATGATGTATTAACAGTTGATTGTATGCACTTGCTAATCCCAATGAGATTTGGCAATTTAGCAATTTACTATATTCTATTGATAATAAAACTATCAGGTTTAGGATGTAGCTGGATTTTTTTAGCTTCTTTCCTTAGAATATGACATACATAGCTTATTTGAGCTAGTTTTTATTCCTTATGGACCATTGTAGCTATATGGAAAAATATTTCAATTTTGGCCAACCTACAGAATTATCAAAGCTGAAGATTTTGTTGTAAGGAAATATGTGTTTTCTTTGTCTGAGACCTTGTTAAGAGTTGAGGTAGCATAACTATTTCTAGTTTAATTCTGAATGATTACAGGGAGCATTGAGAAAGGTAGACTTGGGGGGGGGGGGCAGTGAGGTGGAGTCTGTCCTCAAATGTCATTCTCAGAGTATGCAGAATGCTGCACCCACCAGGAAACATTTGCTTAAAGAGTTTTGGATACCACTTCGCTGTACAAACTGGTGACATGTCCAAATACTTTCCCAAGTGACACATCCTACAAGCGCAATGTCCAATCAGGGCTTCTGACTTTATCCTATGATATTCATGGAGGTCACATTACTTAGCAACAAGGATTAAGGATAGTTTAATTTAATGTGTAATGTAATGTGTAAAATATGTGCACATAATTTAAGTGAATTGGAAACACTCATGTTTCCCATCTCTTGACATGGCCACAACAGTAGATTATGCACAGATGCAGATGATGGTGTACTTTGAGGCAAATATTTCTACTACAGTCAGTATGGGCACAGTGACATTTATTCTCTAGATCAGATGGCAGGTTTAGTCTATTGTAGAAGGCTCTGTGTTTTGTCCATCCATTAAATAAATAATCCAGTCTACTGCATATACAACACTGGCACTTACAAATCTTTGAAAATGTAAGCAAGATCAGTAAACCACAGAGCAGTCTCTTTCCAAATGCTTAATAATAGATTGGAGTTGTATTTAAACATAGCTATTAATCTCTTCCAAATGCATATCCAGCCAAATTCATAAGGTTCTAAATCAGAACTGCTAGGGTTTGTTGTCCCTTTGAGGGTGAATGAACATGAACCTTGAATTAAAATACAATACCATGCAAATATTGGAAACTAGTGTGATGTAGAGATTGGAAGGTTAGAGCTAGAGGGTCAGAGGTGCTCCATTTCTGGTTTAGTTCATTAAATGATTACTCAAGTAATATATTCCCACCTGTATTTTATTTCTTTTCTGTTACAGTTCTACTCCTTTCAGGCTGTTTACTTGCTCTTTAATTTTGACTTCCCCCTAGTTAAATAATGAATCTTCCTTTTGTGACCATTTCTGTCAAAGGGAAGTTCTGTACAGTCGGGCAAAAGAGCAGGACATAAAGCCATTCATTACCTCCAGAGATAGTAAACTAGATTAGTAAATAGAGAATGAAGAATTAATGCCAATGTGCCATTATTCCCTGAAGAATAAAAAGCTCCAGATCATAAAATCATAGCTCAATCTATAAAGTGAGAGGTTTGCTACCAGGGATAGTAAGTAATGAGATTTACTAATCAGGGAAGAACAGGTCTAGATATGGTGATCAAGTAGATCTTTGATGTGAATTCATGTATCAGTTTAACTGAAATTATGTGTATAAAGGATACAATTTTAAAAATCCAACCAATCACTATTTACATACCATTTTGGTCTTTTCTTTTGAGAAGACGAAGCTTTCCTGTGTTTATGCTTAAATAATATCGAGAGCCGAGATTCCCAAGAACTTGCCTTTTCAAAATAACTACTTGTGTTAGCATTTTTATCACTGCGTATTCCACCTTCAAATCTTGAGTATTTGGAAATGCATAACCAGATAAGTAAATAATCCCATCTGTGATTCTTGGATTTTGCTGGTGTGTAAAGAGGGGTAGCTATGAATGAAGAAGTGAATCTGTATTTCTTCCATATATTTGTGAAGAGAGAAAAGAAAAAAAAGTGTTGACAAATGATAAATATTGTTTTAATCAATTAGGCCATATTTTCTAATGATTCCCTTTCCATTTACTCACAATTATTTTTTCAAATTAGAGCTGGAGGGAGTTATTCTTTTCAAAATGATAACCTACACATGAATTACTCCCTGTTTTAAATGGTGTATCAAATCCATGAGCTATAAAGAGCCCCAAAAGTTTCAGGAATGGCCTTTGCCTATATAGGTTGAATATATGCTTTATTTCAGACTTTGCGTGTCTGTGATGTAACAGTGCCGCAGAATTACTTGAATTTTATTTATTCCTCTCTGCTTTAGAAAGATTTCATGGCAAGTTAAGTCAGTAAAAAAGAAGAGACCAATTAAGCAGATTCAGTTTGTATTGTGCATAACGCAGATGCTTAATAAAATTAAGAATACAATTGAGGCTCTCTTCTGCACTACCTAAATTGTCAGTAATATATTCCTATGCAGGATGAATGCCTTTTTACTGTGTATTTTCTAGAGTCAGTGAAACAAAAACATGATTAGCAGTGTCTGTCTGTTACATAAAACTGCATAGCATAAAATGGCTTTGTGTGTGTGTCCTTTTTCCCCCTCTCTCTGCAGGGCTTGCTCTCAGAAATCCTGCGAAAGGAAGAAGACCCCAAGACTGCTTCACAGTCTCTACTAGTAAACCTTCGGGCTATGCAGAATTTCTTGCAGCTGCCAGAAGCAGAAAGAGATAGAATATACCAGGATGAAAGGGAAAGAAGCTTGAATGCCGCTTCTGCTATGGGCCCCACACCTCTCATAAGCACACCACCTATCCGACCTACACAAGTAAACAATTTTCTTCATCTTTATAATCTCGTTGCTAAAATATTGGTGTTGTGTGAAAAACAAATGCACATCACAGAATACCTACCTTCCATATATTGCTTTATGAGTTGAAAGTTTTGCTTTTATATCAAAATAGCACCAGTAAGAAACGACATAGATATGTATTTGATCCGTCTTTAAAAACCTAAGCAGACAGAAATGACCAAATGGATTGCAAGGACTTAGTTTGCATCTGTTGTGAAATATTAATTCTTTTACAAAACACTGCAGAGCTCTTTAAAAAAGAGTCTATCTCCTTCATTTATCCTGTTAGTTTTGTTTCACAAGTTTCTTCAACTAGTTTTGTTACATGCAAGATATTGACGTTTTCTGTTCCATTTGTTTTGATGTGAAGACTAAGCTTCACAATGTATTCCTCCCACAGTACTTGAGGCAAGTTATATGTAAGACAAGCGCCTATGTGTATAGCTCTTCAAAAAAACACAGTTGAGTGTAAAGGGAAGGCACATGTATGGCAGCGCAATGTAAAATAATAATTGGGATCTTGAGACAAGATCTACTAATTGTGACTGCTCTTTTAATAACAGACTCAATTACATTATTCAAGATGAAGTATTCCTAGATTTTGGTCCAAGGTATAGCAAACTAAAGTTTCTGAATATAAGGTTTCTTGGACCTTCACAGGTCCCTCCATCTAGGTTGCTGACATAAGACTGACATTAAGAGATTGAAATAAGAGATTGCATGATGCAATCTCTATTTTCAGAGGACAGCTTTTTGTATACTTGAACAAGTTTGTTTAAACACCTTTGAAAACTAAATGGCTTTTCACTCCCTGTAGAGAAAATAGTTATGATTTATAATTTGGGGGCAGTTCTCGTTTTAAGAATACATTTGAATGGCCAAAATATAAAATGCAGTCTTTTGTTTTTGAGAAATGATTGTGGTGAAGACAGTTAATGGAAACACTAACACTTAAATACAGCTATGCTTCCAGGCGCCACTGTAATAATGGAGTAGTAAACTTTGTCCTGATGAAAAGTCATTCTGAAAGCAATTGCATTTTTCATCCCTCTTGTGCCATTTCCAAAAAAGAAAGAAAAAGTAGTTCATTTTGCGAGGAATTAATTACATTATGAATTTTAACATACAGTGTAATATTAAAAATGAAAGTAGGGTTTTAAAATGTTTTTGATCCTAAACTAACACAACATTTATGAGAATACATTCATAAATGTTTTGTTTGGTTGGTTGCTTGTTTTTCAACTGAGAAAAACAACGTAAACTCCCATATTTGTGAAAAACTTATTTTTCATGGTTTGTATTTTCATCCATTTGGGCTTTCCGCAGAAAATATGAATGACTGCAAAACCCCCATCTTTGCAAGCAGTTTTAATTGTGGGTGTGCATGCAGATTTCCTAGGAAAGCTGTATTTTCCAAATATATTGAAATAACTACCAGTAATAGAAAATTTATTTTCTTAGTCAGATAGGACTGAAAACGTAGGTTGGTTCCATAAATTCTTTATTGAAGTATTGTCATCATTATAAATAACCAAGTGGCAAAGTGAATAATAGTTATATTACATGTAAGGTCTTTGTAGGCATTGTTTCAAAGATTGTAGCATTCCTTGTGCATCAGTGATATTACATAAAGAACAAATGTTATTATGAGCCTTGATAGTATAACAATTTAATGTTTTTGAAGTGTTTATGCCCTTTGATAGTATTACTTCCTGAGATCTGTACTGAGTTCATTTCTAATTCTTAATACTTAATCTCTCTTTAAAAAAAACTTAGTATTATGAAACCTTTTGGAGCAGGAGATAGTTGTAGCAAGCATCATACTAAATTATGACCAATGCTTTCAATAAAAAAAGCTTTGTAGATAGCCTCTAAAAGGTTAATTAGCAATATCTAATGTAGTGCTCACTAGAGCACAGCAGACTAATCATCCATGCTATTCTTAATGGTTCAAAAGGAACTGTTGGGAAGGAAGGGAAATATTTTTGAGGTTAATCTGTTATGCAAGAATTTTTGGGGGAGAGATGGAAACCTTCTCAAGTGACCTATATTCCAAGTTCATCAGCCTTATTAATGTTTTGTCCTAAAAAGTAATTTGAATTTATTTCATTTTTAAAGAAGTTATATTAATCTTAATTTACTGTTATAATTTATTATAATCAGTGCAAATCTTGTCCTTAATTTGGATATTTATTTATTTATTGGTGAAGGCCTTTTATATAACAATTTACTATAAAGCTGTCAGCTAACATATTTGAGTGTATATGCACACATACAGATATTAACCAAACTCTTGTTAGTCCCAGCTAGAGTGTACTGGATTGACTCTCTGAATACTTAATTGAATCAGTGGAATTTACTTATGTGTTCACTTTCTATCCAGATGATCATTTAAAGGATCTGCTCCAGCTAGAACTACCCAACCGAATTTAACTATTTCTCTGTGTGTGTGTGTGTGTGTGTATGCATATATGTGCAAGTGTAGAACTTTACGTATGTGTACATTAGTGCATACATACAGACAAACATTTGTATATATTTGCACATATGTATATGTTTGTTAACAGTTTTTTCTAATTTATCCCACAAGGGTGATTATCCATTTTAGTCCTGAAAAGTGATTGCTTCCAGTTAATAGAAAAGCAAATCACTTTTTATGTGTTCAATATAGTTATGTTTTTTGCTTATCAGTAGCAGATAACGAATCAAACCACAGTAAATAACTGCATTTTGAAAGTGGCAAAGCAATCTTGAGAAAGGCAGGATGATTATGACAAGGATGGTGATGGGGCAGAAATATTAATTGTATTATGCCTACTCTGAAGTAAAATAAAGATGAGACGAAACTAGAGCATCTTGGCTATGGAAAATAGTTTGAAATAAGTTGCATTGCAAAATATTAAGAGAGAGAGAGCAAATTAATATACTGTTAATGTAATAAATTATTTGGGCAGGTGGAAAACAGTCAGTCCCTTGGGTCTTGGGTGGACATTGCCTTATTAATATATGAAGCTTTAAGCGCATGTGGTTGTTTTCACCTAAATCCATTTGCTAGATCCAGACAAGGATTAAGTCCACTGACGCAGCAGGATTTGCATAAATGTTAACTATTTAACAATTGATTAAATGGTTTTACTTTAGATGGGTCTAGCAATTTGATTGAGGCCTTTAATCCCATCATTGCTTTAGTCACATCACCAGCTAATATTGGGAAGATTAATAACTTTGTTGAGCAAAGATGAATAAAAAGATATGAGACCACTAATTTCCACTATATAGAGCACTAAATTAGATCTGCTTGCTAGATAGTTTGTAGAGGAGGAGGAGGAGGAGGAGGGTAAAAATGATTAAAATGTTTGGGTATTTTTTCAGTCAAAAAGCCAAAAGTAATGTACACTACAACAAATTGGTAGTTTGAATTAAAATTTTGAACCCTGCATCATATTAAATTCTGTATCTCCTCAAGAGTTTACAGAAATTTTATTTAGATTTCTTTCCTATCTTTATTGCTGCCAAAGCAAGAAAAGAGCCAATGTATGTGTTACATAGGGACTCAAGAGAAAACAGGAGTTTCCATGAAGCTGCACATGCTTTTACAAGTGAGTAACATTTTCAAAAATCTCTCTTCTTAGGCTCCAGCAGGTTAAAATATAAAATGCTAGGTCTGCTCTCTTTTCTTTAATAAATAGTCAACATAGGGAACATAGGGAAAAGAAGCTAAATGGGAATTGTGACATGGAGGAAACAGACCTTTTAAAATCCATTTGCCTAGCAGCAGCAGTTCAAATCAGAATTGCCCTGTACTTTTTCCCACTGTCACTGAAAAAAGCTTTCCTTCAGCTGTGCTGCTTGCTGTTCATCCCTACTCATTCATGAAAATGCTTTTTTTAAAAAACCTGGATCCATTTCTTCATTGATCCATTTTAGTAAAAAAAACAAAACACCCAAGTCATGCATGATTTAGGTTTCCTGTCACCTTAGATTGGCTTAGGAGGGCAGTGGCAGGAAATCACAGGCTGCACTTATTATGTAGAATAGTGAACAACTTCTAATATAAGTTGCTCTTTATGTGCGCTTATCTTGGGTTTTTATATTTGTATTTACTGTTATTGAGGCATTGAGTGTTTGCCTTTTTGTTTGTTGGCATCCGCCGTGAGTCCCCCAGGGGAGATAGGGTGGAATATAAATAAAGTTGTTGTTGTTATAGGAAGGTATTCTTTTTATTGTATTCTGACTTATCTACTCAAAATCACTGCGGGCTACCAAGCCTGGACAGTTTGTTGAACCTCTGAAATGTCAATTTATTTTCTGAATTTAAATTGAATGAAACTATCAAGGATAAGAGAATAGCATTTTTTAAAGTTCCTGGTGCCATCTGGATACCTCCACAACTCTATAAACTCCCCCCAAATACCACCCTTACTTCTGAATCACCTGGAGGCACCAATACTGTTGGGTGGGAATGAGTTCCCAGAATCCTCATCAGCAGGCATGTAGCCGGGGGGGGGGGGGCTTGAGGGGCTTCAGCCCCCCCAAATTCTCATTGTGGTCCGTGAGAAGGCCTTACTGGTGCATTATTTAAACTGTTATGTTTATTCATATATGATCTGATCACCATACTCAATATATCCCATATGCATGGGGGTATTGGGGTAATGATACAAAAGGTTTGCTAGGGTAGACCCTCTTTCACTCAGACTCAGCCCCCCCCCCCGAAACTCAGCCCCCCCCCCCCGAACCCTCCCCGAAACGAAATCCTGGCTACGGGCCTGCTTATCAGTTTACTTTTCTGTATGAATAATCGGAATTTGAAGCTGTTTAATACTATGTAATATGATATATTACATATGATACATTATTGGAAAAAGAATTTATAGAAGAATATGGATAAAGTTAACTGGGAGGGGGCTTAGAATGCTTGATTGGGATTTTGAATTGACAGAGAGTGGGCATTGAAGAGAAGCTTAACCCATTTTTAACCATTTTAAAAGAGGAAATAATAAATAGTTTATTTATTAAATATAATTATGAAATCCTTTCCATTTTGAAAAATAATATTATAGAGAAAATGCTGTGTTTTGCTGATATTTGACTGTTTTTGCCTGGGCTTTGATACACCAGTCACAAGAAAGTGTACATGCAGTTCACTTATAATTTGGAAACAGTAAGGTTTGGTTCTGCTATTGTATGCTTCTCCATCCCATTTCTATTTGTACCAGCTCAGTTTGTTTCATCCATAGTCCAGAAACCCTAGAACTTGACCTGTTCTAAACCACAAGAGCAGTGTTTGCTTTCTTTCTTCCTCCCCTGCAGCAGCCCAAAGAAAATTATTGGCGAACAAAGAAATTTAAACTTTTTCTAGCATTTGTTAAAGTTGTGAACATGTTTCCAACAAGTTTAGAATACATTACGTTAAATAGTAATTGTGGTGTTCAGCCCTTGTTGGATGAAATGTTAATAATTCATTTCATCCAAGCTCTGCTGAAAAGCCCTATGAAATTCATGAGATTGCCACAAATCAATAGGTAACTTAAAACACATAGCCATGCATTAATTTATTTAATGTAATGTGATTGTTTAAGGTCACCAGGTGAGCTTAACAAAACACAAGGAGTTGAATGTTTGTCTACTGGTCACTTTTCAGTCTATACACACTAACTCTTATATAAAAGAAACCAAGCTAACAGAATAATAATAAAAAATAACACTTAGTATTTATATAATGGCGCTCCATGCAGTCATGCCGGCCACATGACCTAGGAAGTGTCTGCAGACAACGCCAGCTCTTCAGCTTAGAAATGGAGATGAGCACTACCCCCCAGAGTCGGACTCAACTAGACTTAATGACAAAGGGAAACCTTTACTAGCTTCTTTATAGCTCTTTCAAATACTCAAAATGCTTCTATATATTCTTTTCTTGTAAGAGCCTTATAAATTAGGTTAGTAATAGTATTTCTGTATTGCAGAAACACTGTGTTACTTTAAGAGAGATGAACATTGAGGGAATCTGCCTGTTCCTTGATACTTTTAGTAAATCTTACTTGGAAAGGTTATAGATTGAATAGATTATATTGCCATCAGATGTTTTAAGATTGCAACCATACTTTGCGTCCTACACTTATGTTAATAATAGCCCATTGAACTCCGTGTGGTTTGTATCTTACTAGATAGGACTTTATGTCAGGGGAAAACCTTTACCTTAGATAGGTGTAGGTTTCAGTGCTGAATATCTGCAAATCTCTAGTACTTATGGTTTAAAAGTTTAGCAAAATATTACAGGGAAAATGTGTAATCTCTTCAAAATCTCCTAAGCATGCGTAGATGAAAGTAAGCCATCTTGATTTCAAAAGAACACATTTCTAATTGAAAGCACTTTGTATGGCAGTGAATGTTGAAAACAGTTGTGCTTCCTAACTGGGCATTCCTTTTTAACTGTTAGCTAATGACATTAATATCCTATTTTATAGGTAAAAACAGCAACCATTGCAACAGAAAGGAATGGCAAACCAGAAAACAATACAATGAACATTAATGCTTCCATTTATGATGAAATCCAGCAGGAAATGAAGAGAGCTAAAGTGTCTCAAGCATTATTTGCCAAGGTCGCAGCAACTAAAAGCCAGGTAAGGACCTCACCAGGCATCAATGAGATAAATTTGGTATTTTTTACATCTGTTCTGTAATCCAGCTAAAATGGGCGTAATGAAGGGGGAAAGACGGAATGAAGCATGGGCACAAGACATAAAATGTTAAATGTTGTTACCTTAGCTGTCCTAACAAGTTTTCTTCTTAATTTCTATGGCGTTGAGGTGTCATCTAACTTCCTCTCAATTTTGTCTGATAGTATTTAAAAACTGGATGTACTTGTTGACATTACAATGGAAAGCTGTTGTCCTATGAACAGAGCAGGAATGCACAACTCAACCACCTTAGAAAGCCATCATCCCATTGCCATTCATGAATGTCAAGACACCACATTAATAACAGAAAGGAATGTAGCTCAATTAAAATATACTTTTAAAATCTGTATCCTCTCATATAGCATTCTCCTATTAACTCTTCTACTATTTCACATTTCATTGTATAGCACATTATTTTTATTTCCCCTCCACAGGTATGTGTGTCATAACTGTGGCTGAGCTGCTTCGATACATAGGAAGAGGGCTTTCCATTTTAGAAGGAACAAACAGACAGACAGACAGATATTTAAAAGAAGGAATCAGGAGGAATGCAGGAAACTGTTAAACTACAACTTGTATCCGCTATAGTCAACATAGTGAACAATGAAGAGTGCTTGAAGAGGCAATCTAGTAGTATCTAGAAGACCAGAGCTTTAAATTGTCACAGAAAGAGGTGGAAATGGTTGCACACAATGGGTAGAATCCTGCAGCAATTAGAAGAAAAGTGTGGTTGGCTCAATTTGGTTTCCGTAATGGGTCTTTCTATAGGTGACTTCTGTAACATAAAGAATAGATCAAAATAAAATATTTACAGCACCCAGAATTTTAGATAATTTAAAGATGTTTGAATCCAAATATATTTAGGTATTCTAGTAATATGTACCAACTAAAGATTACATTATTATCAGCATGGAAATGCTGAAAAGAACATACAATTCAGCAGCACAGGCATTGTCTTTATTCAATAATAAGGGAATCTGATTCTTCAAACGTCTTATGTTTCCAACATGGCTTTTTCTCTGTTGCATTTGTGTCCTACTTTTTCTCCAAGGAGCTCTAGGGATGATTCTTCTTCCTTTATTTTATCTTAATATGACAATACAGTAAATTAGTTTATTAGTTTGAGAGAGACTGTTCCAAGGTCACTTAATAAGCATTATATATAGCTTGATACCCTTAGTTACTAGTTATCATCTTCATTTGCCACACTCTGACCTCTTCTTCAAATATTACAATGCATTTATTTTTATACAATGATCTGACATATGTATATTATTTGTAAGAAAATAGCATTAGAGTAGACATTCAGACTCCTGCTTCCCATAGTGGTCAGCCAGATCCCTTTGGGAAGTTCTCACTTGTTTGCCTCTGCTGTCAATGAAAATAAACTGAGCATGAGGGAGTTACTGTAAGTTAATATATCTCTAAATGGATATCTTTGGACCCTTCTACACTGTCCTTATATACCAGGATCTGATCCCAGGTTATCTTCTTTGAACTAGATTATATAAATCTTCACTGCCAAATAATCTGGGATAATCAGATTTATTTATTTTTATTTCCCCTCCACAGGTATGTGTGTCAGAAGCGAACCGAGGGTACAGTTGTAATGTATTTAAAAAACATAGAGAGTTTAAAAACTTGGCATTATACCAAATGTTCTCTGACCAGTAGCTGGCCATTTGGAGTGCCCCTGGTGTTCCTATAAGAAGGTCCTCCATTGTGCATGTGGCAGGGCTCAGGTTGTATTGTAATAGGTAGTCTGTGGTTTGCTGTTCTTCACACTCACATGTCATGGACTTCACTTTGTGGCCCCATTTCTTAAAGTTGTCCCTGCATCTCATGGTGCCAAGGCGCAGACTGTTCAGGGCCTTCCAAGTCAGCCAGTCTTCTGTGTGCCCAGGGGGGAGTTTCTCACTCAGTATCAGCCATGCCTTGAGGTTCTGGAATTTAGCCTGCCACTTTTGGACTCTCGCTTGTTGAGGCATTCCTGGGAGTATCTCTGTAGATCTTAGAAAACTATTTCTTGATTTAAGGAGTTGGTGTGTTAGTTGATATGCAACAGGAGATAGGCCAGAGATGTCACTGCCTTGGTCCTTTCATTGTTAGCTGCTACTTCCCAGTGGATGTCAGGTGGTGCAATACTGGTCAAACAGTATAATTTCTCCAGTGGTGTAGGGCATAGACATCCTGTGATAATGCAGCATGTCTCATTAAAAGCCACATCCACTGTTTTAGTGTTCCACACTGTCCATGTGTGCTCAGCAGCAGAATAGCAAAGCGAAAGAATACATGTCTTCACTGTATCTGGTTGTGATCCCCAGGTTGTGCCAGTCAGCTTTCATATGATATTGTTTCTAGCATCCACTTTTTGCTTGATATTCAAGCAGTTCTTCTTATAGGTCAGAACACGGTCCAGGATAACTCCCAGGTGTTTGGGTATGCTGCAATGCGTTGGATAATCAGATAAACTGGGATCAGATCCTAGGATATAAGGCCAGTATAGAAGGAGCAATGGATCTGCTTTACATTATAGTTTAAGAAATACTTTGGAGTTCTGTGTGGTTACTTCCTTTAATCATCCTAGTTTCCAGATCATTTACAAATAAGTAAAAGTGTAAGTCACAATAAACATTTTTGGAGGAAAAATCCACAGCTGATATTTTTCTATTATGTAAATTGCTCATTTATTCATACTCTGTTTCCTGTCTTTCAACAGTTTCCTATACAAAAGGCCTCTTCTCTTATCTCCATATTGCTGTGTTTCCTTAGTGAGAGTCTTGATCAAAAACATTTTTGACTTCCAAATATACTGCAATTATATTACTATGTCAATATTCTCTTTTAGTACCATGCATTCTAAACTTTAGATGTCTACATATGAAAACTTTAACACTTCTGTGCTCTTCAAATAACCCAGTGGGTGTTTTTGACACTGCTTTAGGGCTTCTTTTTTCAATGACTCATTAGTTTGGGTATAGTTATTTTAAAAACACATTTTATTTTGATTACCATCACTAAAGTATAAGCTGTCCCAAACGAGGTGCTTTTCCAGACCTGTTGACATTGCCCACAATCTGGTGCCAGTGTCAATTATTTGTGGTTAGTATAACATCTATTTAATGAAGCTACTTCAAAATGTAGTGTGTACAGTAGCTGGTGTGTAGGATATAGCTGTCATGCACAATCATGCAGTCTAACTGAAAGTGGAAACATATTGGAATATTATCTAGTTAGATTATAGGTATGAAATCATGATGAAACAGGCCCATTACATTTAAAGTTGACTGGGAAATAGATTATCCTTAATTATAAGGTCAGCTAAGAGGTAAATCTCTATAACAGATAATTTTCTTACATCTCCCTTTAAGCATGTTACAGTTCTAGCTAGATTGACAAAATGTAACCTTTATTAAAGGTATTTTGGAGTTTAGGTTGTTATTTAAGCTTCCATTTCCAAAATGTTTACAGTTGGGAGCTGCTCCATCTTTCGTTATATAGAAAAGATGTTTCTTTTTAAAGTTATATGCTGTAAGGAATACTTAAAAGGAAATTTTGGAAATGTTATATCAAAATGATTAAACTCAAGCTGTGGACTGTAAAAAATTATAGCTTTACAGGCCACATGCCTGCGTACCCTTCAATCACTGTCAAAGTGATAATTTCTGCAATAATATGTTTCTTTTATTGTAGGATTCTAAACACCAAGTGCTGTTTAAACATTAAACTGAATTGTTTATGTTAGCGCTGTACTCACTGTGTCATACATCAGGCCACTATAATCTCTCGTGGAATGTAAAATTCTGTCATGAATCATGGCTTGTGTATCAGAAATTACTGTAATTTTGATTGGAAATTACAGGGTTCTTGAAATGTTTCTAATTATGATAGAATGTTAACTGTGACTTCAAACCTGTATGTTTCTTTAGATGTCTTCTATTTTCAAGTGAGGGTTAGACATTAAAAAGAAACATTCATTGTCTGTACCCCTCCATGTTACTTCATGTCCTCATAAAGTCATTGGTTAACTTGCCATATGTGTGTGCATTGTTTCCCCTTTGCTCTACCTTAGCACTAAAAGGACACATGACCTTTTTAATATATAATTTATGCAATGATTTTAATATATAATATTAAATATATATAATATATATAATAATAATATATAATTTATGCAGTGATTTTAGGAAACCACAGCTATGTAGTTGAAAATTATGAAATTAACAACAGGATATTGATGACTTTTAGGCATGCATAAAAGAGTGCACAATAATACATATATTTCTACTTATTACTACTATAATATTACCTATTTTATATGCAAATACATTATTGTTTAAGATTACAAAGTAGTTATAAAAGACCCACAGTCATCACTACTAATAACCTATTTTAATTTTTAGGTACACTATTTATATCTTATAGGCTTGGGCAATCCATGGTTCTAAATGGTTCTAAAGTACTTACAAAACTAAAGTTCTGGTGGTGAAAATTTCAGAACTCTAACAAAACTTTCAAAATTTAATTATTATTTCATTATTGGTGATTTTAATGACAGAACCAATTAGGAACTGCCATTTATTATGAAATTTTGAGAGTTTGGTTAGAGTTCTGAAATTTTCACCACCAGAACTTTAGTTTTGTAAGTACTTTAGAACCATTTAGAACCATGGATTGCCCAAGCCTAATATCTTACTATGACATTTTTGACCTTTTTTCTATACATTTTCTGTTATCTTTGATATTCTTCATACCCATGCTTAATTTGTTATTATCAGCATGCCTTAGTTGCATAAATTATGTATAATTTTAAATCTGTGGTCATAGGTACTCTTACCTGACAGTAAGCCTCAAAGCAGAATTTCTCTTGAGCTGAGTTAGACATATAAAGGTTGCCCTATAATTATCTTGATTATAGATTAAGAATTGTAGAAAATAAATTA